ACAGAAGGGGCTACAAGAAATGAAGGAAGCTAGTTCATGTTAGATGGAGTATAAAAAAATGAGGATGATGGAGGCACGGAAGGAGTGGTCAAAGTGGCTAAGAAAATTATATTTCTGTGATGGTCTGATATCTATTTTGAATCACCAAAAGTGGAGCCAGAATGCGTTTATCAAAGATATAATGATGAATTAATTCAGATACAAGATATCTAGCTAAAATTAGACATTAAAGTTTATCTATCTGGATGGATAGGAAAACCCTTATCTTATAATAAAGAAAACATATAAAAGATACCAGTACAACCAAGGTATAGGGACCTGAAGAAAGCCTGAGTCAAAGTTAACACCCACCCTAAAAGCCTTCTTTACTGTTTTGGTTTCTGAAAGAGTAAATGGAATGAACTAAAAAGAAAGAAAAGAGCCTAGGATTATTCTAAACTTGGTTTTATAAGCTGCGTGCATATCTCTGATATGATATGTAGTGGGTCATTTGAGGTTAGGAATTCAGAATCTTTCACTGAGGAGGTGGTAATGATGGGATGCAGATGGAGAAATAATGAAGGGAATAGATAGAATGCTGCTGGATGCAATCTCTCTGTTCCTCTCCAATCAACAAAATTATTCTTGTATTTAGTATTCAGCTTCTTTGTTTTTAAAGACCAAAGTCTTGTCTCCTTCAGGCTTTGAAACTTAATCGGAGATTTTTAGTTTCATGTCTTGGCTTGTAGCAGGGACATAAGATACTAATACAAGATGTGGACCTTGGTGTCTTTATGAAAGCAAGCTGTGGCCTGTGAAAATATTTGCGACCTCATAAAGAATATATCTAGTGAGGAAACGTAATTGAGAATTTATTTTGAGCATGCACTTGGTTTCATATTGAGTTGCAGAACCCTGATGTTTTCTGGCTTTTCCAGCATCGTAGCAAGCAGAGGGGAAATTGGTGGTGGTTACAGCATGGAGTAGAAGGCATAAGGGACCACAGCTGCTAATCTCAGCTCTGATACTGGGCGACTGTAACCCCAGACAAGTCACTTTGCTTCACAGTTCCCTATCAGTAAAGAACAGGAGGTTAATGCTTGTTAATACTTGCTTCTCTCATGTGAAATGCAAGGATTAGAAGAGCTGGTGTGTGTCCAGAGCATCCAACATGTGAGACCTAAGTGCTTTTACAGCATCATTTGTCCTAATATAGGTCCTCTCTGTATTATCCCAGCACGTAGTGTGCATGCCGCCAGCCAGAGGCTGGGTCTTTCCTTTCCTTGAACCGCCTTGCAGTGGCTCTTACAGAGTGGGTTTTCTTATGTTTTCACAATGGGAGGACTGATGCTGTCAATCTTACATAGATAGGATTAAAAAAAAAAAAAAAGCTTCATTCACCAATAAGTTGCTTTTCATCTCTAAATGTAATAGGAGAGTAGTTCTGGTTACTGTTCCAGGATTTTTAGGATTTGCTTGCTTGCTTAGAGTAAATGGGAAAAGTAGTACTGTAGTGAAATGAGAACCTGTCATATCTGGGGAAGATAAAAGGGAAAGGAAACTCGGGAAAATGCTTCTTAGTGTTTTTCACCCCTAGAGGCTGCGTGTTATTTACCTTCTCCTAGATCCTCCAAGAGCTGGCATTGGCATACTTCCGATCCTATAGGACTTTGCTAAAGTAAAGGATTTTAGACACTGATGTGAGCTCAGGAGATCTGGATTCTTTTCTGTGCCATGGATTCAGGAAAAATGTAGTGTCTGTATGCCTTATTTTCCAGCCTCTGGAAAAATGTTCTTTCTTTCCCTTGCTTTTTCTGTTTGGCTTTTCAGAGTGTTTATTCTCTTATTCTGTGGAGTCACTTAGGCACACTCACACATACACAGATGGATAGATACAGATATACAGCACTTAGTGGGGTTTGTGTAAACTGCGCAGTGATAGTTAGAACCGGTGCAGCACTTGGAAATGTTTAAACCCCTCTCGCTGGCCTGTTTGGAAATAACAAGTGTACTACTACTGTGCCATGAATTGTGCCAGCAGAACATTGGCTTGCAGAGAGATGGAGGCAGGTGCTGAATTATGCCCTTGTTTAACGGAAAATCTCCTAGTTGGGGGCTATCCTAAAAAACCCATGTCATACTAGCGGGAACAGGGTTGGCAGGTGACCAGCTGCAAATCTGAACTCAGGAATCCTAGCTGCAACATAGCCATGTAGTACTTGTGGAGTGATTCCTGCAGCATTTATATCTTGCACTCAGCCGCTGGGGAATGTGTTTGTCGTCCTTCTCACTCATGTCACGTTGGGGGCTTTGTCAGATCAGAATACATCGTCGCTGTGCTTCTCCATGTCCCTTGAGTTGTCATAGGCACAAATCTTTTTCAAATGCTCTCCCCTGTTCATTTCCATTATTATATCTAGTGCTTCTAGGTGGCAAGCAAAAAATGAATAACCTTGTAAATGCTCCCTGTCTTTCAATTTGTTTTATTTTTCATACAACGTGTCAGTGCATTTTTGTTGAGTGTTTTTAATAAGATGAAGTTGATGAAAATAAATTGCTTTGCAGTTCCTGCTGTGGGTGACAGAAATGCTGGGTCTGTTATTTTCCAAAATTGCACATTTGAAAGCAGTGTGGAGGGTGTTCTATATGCCTGTAACTGCAATCATCTTTGTAATGTACCTCCCAGAAAAGGAAAGCAGCTAGCAATTTGAATTTTGGGGGCAAGATGCACTGCTGGTATCCAGCTTCTGCTGGGCACAGTGAGAGAGGGAGCTGTCAAGAGGAATCTTAGGATTGATTCTGTGCCAGGCTTGCGTCTGCCATATTGGATAGTTAGCCACATCTGTCTCTAATGTGAGACAGAGAATGAATTATATAGCAAACCCTCTTATCAGATTGTCTCCTAGCCAAGGCTTAGACAGCAAGGACTGGGACTTGACCATGTGGATACCCCAGTGCCTCTGGTTACTGCATATCAGCTTTCTTCTGAGCATTTCAATGACTTACTCAAAAAATGTAATGTGAATACGCAGTGATCTCCAAGTTACCAAGGTGTACTCAGTAGAGAGTCTAGTAACTACTCATCTGTCTTTGAGAGAAGATAAGCCACATATTCCAAATGTGATTTTCAAGTTAAGACTTTTCTTTTTTTACTCATTTTAATGAAAGGGGGAAAATTCAGTATTACTATATTTCTTGTAAATGTTTCTATTTTGATAAAAAATGCAAAAAATAAAAATTTCCCTAAAGTTTATAATTTCATTTTGTTGTCCACTTTTTGTGCTTTTTTAGTACATATTTAACTGGAAGACAGTATTAATGTCTGTCTTACTGCAGACTTTGCTGCATTTCTGAAAGTCAGGGAAGCGCTTTCTCCATATATTAGGTGAGAACTGACACATGGAAGTTGCTCAGGAGCTGATGATTAACCAGGAGCTCAGGTTCCACTTTTGCAACTTCAAGGCTAATACCATTATCATTAAGGTAGTTTTACTTTCCTCAGAACTGCTTTTAGTCCTTCTTCTGTCCTATCTTTTTGGAAGCGTTGAAAACAGTAATAATTAAGACTCCAAATTGATAACAGTCTTCTTCACTTTCCATTTCAAATTCAGAAATTTCCTTGGAGGTTATGCTGCTTGAGGTAGAGAAAAGACAGTGTTTTGGATTAATTGTTTTTCATTGTCCACTCAAATTTGAAGAAGTGGATTAGTGCCGGTAGTAAAACTATCCTACTGTAAAGCAGGATTGATGGATCATAGTGCACGTACAGTTCAGCCTGGTCTGCTGTGCTGTTGGGAGGCAGGGACTGAGCAGTGCATTCAAAACTTGGAAAAATAACTAATTCTTGTTTGCAAGTTTTCTGGTGATGTCTTGCAGACAAATTGCCAAAGGTGTGAATCCACTGTTCACCTTTACATTGATGCTTTACACTGATGTTTATACTTGTTATTTCAGATTCTGGGTAAATTACCTCACTCTGTAATTTCTTTATACTGCATTAAAATAGCATGTGCGAAGCAAAAAAAACAAGGAGATGCTAGGCCCCAAAATCATAATGGAGATGGAAAAAGTTTATGGAGATTTTAAGCAATCCTCTTTCTTAGTCCATATTATATCTGGTTTAGTTTTAAGTGGTTCTGTTGATGGCGTTCCTGCCACTTTCCTGGAAAAACTGTTTCATTCCCACTATTCGGCAACATTTCCAGAGATTTATACTATTTTCCTCTGCTTGGCTGCCTTTCATTTCCCCAGCTTACAACAAGAGGGTCCACCTATGGCAAGTTCTTTCCTTGCAGAAGGTTTTACTTTTTGCTCTATGACTGCCAGGAGTGCAATATGAGGCCTTGAATTTCCTCTATCGCTCTTAGGCCCCCTTTGTGCCGCATTTATTCACTCACTGTCACATTTTTCACGTGTGAATTGCAAGGACAGGAAGCTACTCCAGCAAATAACTGGTGTTCAGCAGCAAAATCTGAATCTTTTATGTAGGCTGCACACATGTTGTTGTTTTTTTTTCCATAATTTACATGGTTCACCTTTTTTTTTAATTCGCTCTAATTTGTTGACATCTGCCTGATTCTTTCTGAATGAAGCTTTGCTACAGCTGTTTTATGAAAGAACTGTCAGCTTGGTTAAAGGACCTGAGGCTTCCTGGTACACAGTCTTATTCCACTGCAGCTTGAAGAGCTACTGTGGAACCTTGTTCCTGATTATTCTCTTCTTCCCCTCTGGTCTTTTGAGTAACTTTTTGCTTCTTGATTCTCTCTCATTATGATATTAGATGCTGAGTCCAACAGTGTCAGGTCTGAAGTTTGCAGGACCCCTGTTAAAAATACTAATCACTCCTGATTTTAAAATTCTGATTCTCCTCCGCAGTTATTTCTGGAAGTGTTCTCCTTGACCACTATGTAGAAGCATTGATCTCCTTGACCATAAATAGAAGTGTTTGTGTACAACTGTGTGACTGTGAAGGGGTTGATATGATCACGTACTTACAAAATCCTGGCTTTGTTATTTTCTAGGTATTTGGTGCTAGAACATGTGTCAGGTGGGGAGCTCTTTGACTATCTCGTAAAAAAGGGAAGATTGACACCAAAAGAAGCCAGGAAGTTCTTCCGACAAATCATCTCTGCTTTAGACTTCTGCCATAGTCATTCAATATGGTGAGTACAGCCATTTCCACAGGAGTTACCTGTTACATAAAAGCTTATAATAAAGGGATCTTACCTTGATATTTTTACTTTCTGATAAATTACTGATGTTGTAAAGCTCTAAAAGCATTGGGTAAAATACTGATGTATTTTTTAATTCTTGACCATCTATGAGACAATGCACCAGTCACAAATAGACTTTTCATGGAGAAGATTGTCTGTCATTTTTCACTGGAGGAGAATTCATTCACAGGTAATGCTTTAAACAGAAAAACCAAAACTACCAAAGGAAAACAGTTTCATTTCCATAATTTTTGAGGCACTTACTAATAATTAAGATTATATACACTGTATCAAAATGAATCCCTGAAGAATCCTGGGACGATTGCAAATACAGCAGTCATTTTATGGCTTCCTTCGTTTTTTTTAAAACCTGCTGGCTTTTGGCAACCTTCACTGAGTCCCTTCTGGGCATTTGAGTCACCATTGCCTTTAATTTCCTTTCCAGTAGGGAAGAATTTTCTTATACTTTCTAATTCCATCATATTATTTAACCATCGGGTGTGGTTTAACCTGTGATATCAGGTGGTGTTTTAAATTGCACCGATTTCTCCTTCATCTCCAGCAAGTTTAGGTAATTTAAATTATACTGAAATCAAGTTGTTGTAATCAGTCTGAGCACAAGAGTTTCTGTATAGCTGCTGACCCATAACTGCCTGCTCCTTGCTCTCATAAGTGCATCTCCTTGCATTTAGATTGGCTGAGGGAGAACATCTACATTGTCTGCGTGGCTGCTTCTCCATAGCCACAGCCAGCCATAGATCCCCCACTCCAGGAGGCCAAGGGCCACAGATAGATATTGCAGTAGCTGGATTTGCATAATCACTATGTGGTTCCTTCTCAGCAGCCTTACAGGGATTTTCTGTACCCCCAGTTTTGTGCTGAAAACTCACAAACCAGATGGCCCCAGCATAAAAGGCTACAGCAAAAATGGATGCTTAAATATTTTAACTTGCTTTTTTAGCCTCCCCCATCATCTCTGACTCATTTCAACAGGAAATAGTAATCAGAAAGACAGCATATTTCTAAATGGAAAGAAGAGCCTTTCTTGAGGATATATTGAGAAAAATGTACTGTTAGCAGAAGAGACAGTTCGAAGGTGGTAGATCTGGGTGAGACGATCCTGAGGACAATGTCTACCTGGTACAGTCAGGGTTACAATAGTCAGAGAAATTCCCAAAAAGGCCAAGAGCAGGTTGCATGCCCTAACTAGAAGATCTAAGTTTACTCTATTGGCAGAGATGTCTGATCAGTTTTATTCTATGAATTCCACAATTTTTCCTCCCTGCTAATCCACTGCACTGAGTCATCCTGACCGTTTTAGAACCAGCATACAACCTTGGTAGGTTGCAGAGCTGTTATTTTTTATATACACTGGGCGGTGTAACCACTGGTGGATTGCATACGTACATGTTTCTGTTTCCTAGTTGGCTTAATACTTAGAAATCCAATCCAAGAAGACTCGAAAATGTTTAAGTACAATTGAAGAGAAATTATTTGCTCTTCCAAATGAATATTCTGGAGAAATCTCAATCTCCATTGGGATAGTTTGTACTAAAAAATGCACATACATGCTAGTCCTTTGGGCTTATGATGGATACTTCTTGATCTGGGAGACTTTAATAAACTGAGTGAGGATCATGGTGAGTCTCATGTCAGACAGACAGGCAAGCATCTCTGCAGCTTTAACAATATGTGAAATCTTCAAGGCAGAGTGCCTTTCTCTCTTGAGGAATCCATTTTCTTCTGTTAAACATATTGGATTGTGGGCAGTAGTCTTGCTAATAAGTAAATCCCCTGTCTCCTTGCTAACTCCCACTTGACTAGCATCTAGTTCTGAATAAGTTAGCAGTAAATCATAAGCTCTCCCTCCGGGTCACTCTGAGACTCGTGTGGTCTGTGTTATATTAGATTCTGTGTCGTATTCTAGACCGTTATCAGAAAATCAGAGCATGCATAAATACATATGTGTGCATGTGTGTGAGTATAAAAGTTAATGTGCTTTCCTAAGCAACGAAGCCTGACCTTGTCCTGTCGTGGGGCAGTGAAATGACAAATCATCTCATCAGCCAGGTTATCCAGTTATGACCACGTTGAAAAATGAAGGCTTCTGCTTTGGTTAATGACTAAATGTGTGTGCTTCTGACGTACTGGCAGAATAGATTGATGGGCTGCTATCCCCAGCCCCATATCATTGTCCCATCTTCTTCCTGTACCTCCCAAAACACTTTGAAATAACTGTGGCTTACTTTCACAGGAGTATGTAACCACAGTCAGCATTCACTGCTCAAAATGCATTGATGCACCAGGATTCCTGAATCAAAGAATTCCTGAATCAAAGATTCAGGAAGGATTCCCCAATCCTCCCATCAGTAAAAGGCTTTGGCTGTTCCTGTGTGGAGAGATAGCTTCTGTCTGAGAGGTGTTTTCAAACAAGCAGCTGAGAAAAGGAAGTAGAATAGGTGTAGAGCTTGAGTCTGTTTGTGTGTTGTTTTAAAAATGTATGTGCTTTCTGTTCTTGTTCTATTTACTGGAAACAATGGGAGAGTATTTGATGTATCTCACTCTGTGGTGCAGTCACTTATGGGGTTTTTATGATATAGGTTGTCCATGGGAGAATGCTTATAGATAACCCACTGTAGGGTCCTCTGAGGACTTCTGTGTGTACATAGCACTGTGCCAGGCTAGGGACCCACAGGCAACTGTGCAGCAAACTGACAGCACCATGCAGAGGTATCTCGTGGGATCCCGTGTTACCTTGCTGCTTTGCCTGAGCTGGCAAGCCAAGCAGTTAGCTCAGTGATGCAGCATTATTGCTTCTACTTCAGCTCTCCCTCTGTGCTTGCTCTGAGGGCTCTGCGCTGTGCTGCAGTGCCTGGAGCAGACGCACTCGGCAACGGTGCAAGAAATGGCAGAGGAACCTGAGGTTCCTCAGACATCAGTTTAAGACCATCCAAGCCTGGGAAGTTTTCTTTGGACAGAAGTGATGATGATTGGTTTTTTTCCTAAACTGCCATTCACCTAATACTGGGTGTCCACTTTCCTAAATTCAGGGCCTTTAAGATACCTCTGCTGGGTGCCCCAAATCAATAGTCCCTTTTGAACGTCCTGCCTCCATACTGTGGGAGAGCTGTCGGCTAATTCAGTGCCGACTGTATTTTCTGTCGGAAACAGTGTGGGAGCACGTATTGGGGTAGGTCACAAATCCTTGGTTTCCTCGGGAAGAGCCTCTTTGATGTCGGTGTTGGGGATGCTGCAGCGGCAGCCGCGGGTGGGAGCGGAGGGAGGGCTGGCGGGAGCCGCATTGGCTGGGCGTGACATCACCGGCGGGAGCGGGGATTGGCGCCGCGCATCCTCCCGGCCCTGGGCTCCGGCTTTGGTCGGGCTCATATTCGGTGTCTGCATCTCACAAGCTGACAAATAAAAATATGATTACAGAAAATGCCCCGTGGCAAACCTTATTATGGCTTCAGAGATAACAGATAATGCCAATTACTGCGCAGGGCAGTGGTGACATTGAGAGGAAATCCCCTGCGGTAATGAGCAGTGAGATGATTATTTCATTTTATTTTTATTTTGGTTGCGTTTCATTTTGTGGTTTTGTTTTTTTCCCTGAGCATACACAAGAGGGGTTAAGGCAGGTTCTTTATGAATATTGATAAATGACAATTATGAGGGCCCTTTCTCCTTTCATTGCCTGGGGCTGTGCTTGTTCGAGCACACACAAGGAAGGCTCTTGCTCAAGTGTGTCTGTGTGTGCATGCGTAGGCATGGGGGTGTGTGACTTAAAGGGCTGAGGCAATGAATAAGAGCTTTGTTTGAGTTTGCCTTGTGTTCTTCCCCTCAGTGCAGAGGGGGAAAGGCTCCTCATAAAATAACACATTCACAGCAGTAGTGTCAAAATCTCTGGTATATTCTTGCAGGCAGAAGCTGCAGAGCACTGTCAGTAAGGAAAGCATCCTTTTAGGGACAAATCTGGGGTGTCTCTGAGAAACAGAGAAAGCTGAAGAATGCCAGGTGCCATGTTCTGTCAGATAGTGCCACCCTACTCATGACTCCTGCTCTGCCTTACTTCATAAGGAGCCTGCTGTGGTGTTCTGCAGGGAGGTTCTGTCAAATGCTGAATACTGCAGCAGCTGGACACCTTGAAATCATGACTCAAGGCCTCCAAATGTGAAATTGGTCTAGAAATTGTGGAATTTAATAAGGTTGGTTGCTGTTTTGGAATTTTTTCTGGTCCTTGAGTCTTTAGGTTTTCAAGTTCTCTTTCAGGCTATCAGAAGTGAGAAGGGTACGTTTTTCCCCTGTTGGGAGCTGATATTCACCAATCATTACCTGAATCCAGGAGTTTCAGAACTGTGATCAAGACTCACTGTAAAACAGTGAGGAATTTTCAGATAACCCTTGTACAGGAAACCGGAGAAAACCCATCAAGTGTAGCAGCTGCAGTGCCAAAGGCAAAGTTACCAGCTCAGCTAAAGTCAGAGTACATGTATCTTTGTAAGTTTACTTCTTTATATAAGCCACTGGAGACTCAAAAATAGCATAGTCTTATTGTACACATAGCCAGGTAAGATTCTCTGGCAAGTACAGCAGTAGTGATCAGACCTGACCAGTTGTTCTGGCTTTGAAATGCATGACTATATGTTTTGAGGAGGGGTTGGTAAGGAGAAACAATACATTTTAATAGATTAATGAAAATAATTGTTAAAAAAGCAAGCAATGTTTTATGCATACAAATCCTTCCCCAGGATTCCTGATATGTTTATAGATGTTGTCCCTTTCCTAGCTATAGTTACATTTACTTGCTCTGCAGAATTCTGTGAAAACTTACTAAATTTGAGCATAGCAACCATGGCTGTAAACAAAGATTCTTCTGTAGGTAGATACAAGTTATGTGTTTGGATCTGATTTGCAGAAGCAGGAGAATATAAGATTAAAGGCTTTTTCTG